AGTCCCGGCGGAGAACAGAGAAAGTGGACGCTCTTCCCGAACCCCTCATATTGGGCCGGGCCGTGCACAATACAGACCCAACCTAGGCCCAATGGACCTCAACTACTGTTTCCATATTTCTACACATATATTCGGGTTTTATTTTTTATAAATAATGTTTTTATTTAAACTTATTTTTAAAATAATGTTTCATTAAATAAAATTAAACAAAAAAAAAATGCTTATTTTGAAATTTATTCCAAAAATAATGCGTTTGAAATTTCACCTACTTGGTCATCCCTAGACAACCATGTCATTTTCAGCAAGAGACGAACACAATGACATGGTGCTATATTGGCGCCACGTCTTTTTTTTTCCTTAAATCTAGACATGGTCGACGACGACCATGTGTTGCCACGAATTTGTGGCTGTTTCGGTTACAGCGATACAACCAGGTATTAGGAAAAAATAAAATTTCCTTATATATTATATATTAAATAACAGTTTCATTAATACAAATCTAGTTTTGGCATAATGGATTTGAGCCCACTTTTCAACACGTTGTTCTTATTATTATTATTTTACGTAGTTGCGTTCAAATCCATTTGGCCATAACTAGCTATACAATCATGAAACAGTTATTTAATATATAATATAATAAAATTTGATTTCCTAATGGTCAGCCATGTGGCCGAATCACACGACCACTATTAAAAGTGACATCTTCATCTCTTGAAGAGACGATCAAGTGGGAGAAAAAATTCAAACGCATTATTTTTGGAATAAGTTTCAAATAAGCAGTTTTTGTTTAATTTTATTTAATGAAGAATTATTTTAAAAATAAATTTAAATAAAAACATTATTTTTTAAAAAAATCCCATATATTCTCTTTGTTAGTTTTTCTTTTTCTTATTTGTTTTCCCTAATTGCCTTTTTTTTCTTTTGAAAAGAAACTCATGTTATTGAAAGATGGATGCCACATGAGCTATAAATTTGATGGTTTTACTACCAACATACTTAAAAGCCAAAAGAAAATTAAAGAACCGAGTGTGTGTTAGGAGGAATGAAGTTCATGTTTAGCTAAAGAGGTTGTTGCCTTGTTGCCTTCACAAGACATGAAAAAAGGAAAAAAAAAAAAAAGAAATGTATTCAAAATTAGGGTAAAATTCCTGGAGTTAATAATTCATTTGAATCTATCCTTTAAAGTTTTAATAAATCACCATTGAATAGATGAATTAATGTAAGGAAGTTTGATTCAATCGAGGAACTAAGCAATTTAGGGATGATCTTGCTAGTTGAAGACCCTCGCAAATCACCAGAATCTCTAATAATGGTAGAGGGCATGGAATGATGATGAAAATGGATTTAGCCGCTCGAATTCCACYATATGAGTCTTGAAGGAGAAGATTCGAACTAATTGCAGAAGATCTTCCATAGCAGATGGCATCAATATTTAATTTGAGTCATCTAGGGATGGATTCCAAAAAATTGAGGATATCCTATGTTGCTTTTAATATAATGCAATTTTAAAACATAATATATTCTCACTGCCCTCCATCTGTTTGTAATTTACCATTACAATTACATCGTGGCACTCCATATTTTCAATATTCTTTTGGTTATGAATAAGYCAACCATAAAAGTTAGCTTGCTCTCTAGTCTTCCCGAAGTGAAATGAGCAAAAGAGCATAGGTCTGCTTCCTAGTCTTCCAGTGAAGGAAGAGGTAGGTCGGCTCAAAGATGACCATCTTCTTCTATTAATGGTCACAGGTTTGCTCTTTGATCTTTCGAGTAGCCGCAGAGCCCTACTACTTAAACTTCCCTTCGGGGAAGATGAGGTTAGCCTAAAAATGACCACATTCTTCTATGATTGGTTAAAGGTATGCTTTCTGATCTTCCATATATGAGTTAAGTATAAGAGTAGAGTTCTAGTACTCCTTGGTCTTTGAGGGAAGAGCGATTAGTCCAAATTAGGTGACCACTTCCTCGTATGAATGGTCAGTGGTCTGATCTCCAGTCTTTCCTAGATGAATCGAGTAGAAAGTAGAGGCATGCTCCCTCGTCTTCTCTTGAGGGGAGAACATGTTGTCTTGAAGATGACCACCTCAATAGTCAGAGCTTCGTATTTTCTCAACAACTTTGACGAAGTGTGGAATCCACTCTAAATTGAGTCTAGTTCAAAGTGTGTCTGCTTGAGAGCTCGATCTCTCTGTTAGAGCAACACTCTAATATAGTGGGTCAAAGTGTGTCAGAGAAGTTATTATTATCGTATTTCTATAAATAGTAAAGGTTACTCCCCTTCAAGGTATGAAAAATTATATCCAAACTTGTCTCACACCAAGCTCAAATATGACTTAAGTAATAGAGCACGTTGGGCTAGTACCACATCGGTATTTCATTTTTTTTCTATGCAGGCTATTCATTCTCAACCTCTACTTGAATACGAGCTACTTAACTCAAACTTGCGACTCATCTAAATAACTCCATCAACACTTAGAAGGTACAAATCTACATTCTATAAAAAAAATTTTATACAAATTATACAAACAACTTCAAATTTGATAAACCCAAAACTCTTTTTAAGTCAAATAATATCCACTAATTGTTGAAGCAAATATATTATATAATGAATGGAGAGATTTATTATAGATYGAGTTCACAAACCGCAATCAACGAGAGAGAATGTGAAGCGACAGCTAATGGATAGAGACACCACGAGCTGTATGCATGTTCAACCGATTTCTTCTTCTTTTTTTCTTCTCCTTTTTTAGAAAAAAAATAAAAGAAATAATTTTAACCTATTTTATTAATTAAGCCTACATGAATCACTCAGTTTACAAAACAAATTATTGTTTTTTTTTTGGGTTTGTTTGTTTGTTTTTTTTTTTTAAATAATACAACTACTGCTACACTTACAACTGTTAGTAAAAAAAAAATAACAAAATCATAATTTAATGAATTATTGTTTTGATTTTTTACAGTTTTCTTTTTATTTTCTTTTAAATAGGAAAAATTAACATATTGATTCAAAGAACTTTTATTTCTAGTTTTTTCCCTGCGTGGTAACAGTTTTTTTTTTAATTTGTAACATGATTTTATAATCATAGCCAACCTTTAAAAAAAATTCAAATAACTTGTTTTCGGTTTTTTTTTAATAGCATAGGGATAACGAGTAAAACGAGCTTAATTTAAAAAAAAATAAATAAAATAACGAAAAAGGGTTGAAAAGATTAWTTTTTTTTCCTTAAAATTTGGTTAAAAAATTTAAAAGTATCAATAAATATCAAGTTTTATAAAATAAATTGTTATTAATTTTCTAAAAGAAATGATTGTTCTTCATATGGATTCACTTCTATGATAGTTTAAAACAATAAATATTTTCCTATATTCTATCTATCAAGGTTGATTTTTCTTTTCTTTCTTTTTTTTAATTTTTTAATTTTTATTATTATTTTTTTTTCTGAACAAGTGGAAGTGATCTTACAATGTGGAAGCCATCATCAATAACTAATCTTTAAAAAACAATCTTACTTCTTAAAATGGATTTCTAAATAAATTATATATATATAAAAGAGAGATTTAAGAGAGACAATGACATTAAGGAAATTAAATGAAAAAGCACAAAAATTAAAAGTCAAGATTATCATGTTAATTGCTAGCCATGTTAGATATTAAAGAATAAAAACAAAAGTCTTGTAGAATAAAGTAATTCTTAATGCAAACAATTATTCCAAATTAGTTAATTACTCATTAGTCACTAATAAAAAAAAATCCTTGAGAAAAGGTAAAACAATTTTATAAAAGTATACATTTTGAAAGAGAAATAATTAGTGCAAATTTTTTTAATTAGTTTAATCATATTAAAATACGACTAGTTGCCAATTGAAGGGATTGAAATTTGAATTTTTAAATTGGATTAATTTTGCACGATTTATGTCATAGCTACTGCTTGACCTTATCTAAGTCAAACCCTTTGAATTATTTATTTAATGTATGAACTCTGTTTGGTTTACTCTCTCAATTTGGACATAGCCATCTTGAATTCATGGTATAATTATTCTGTTCTAAAATTAATTATATATTTTTTTTAATTGAAAAGAAGAAATGCTTTTTTTTATTAATACTTTTCTCTAGTTTGTGATGTAGGTTAAAAATTATAGCTAAAACTAGCTTGCATCAGCATAATGGTCATTAGGAGTTGGGACAAGTGAAAAAAATATAAGAATCATGGAGAGAAATAGGTTCCGGTTGAAGGCGAATTATCAACTGCCACGTGTCGACGAAATATATATTGAAAAGTCTTCGGTCATTTCAATAACGCGTGGAACAACTGAACATAACTCGTCACTTGGAAAATTATTTATAGCTCAATACTTGAGCCAACTTATTTGATTCATACCGTTAAGGATCCCACATTGAAAATAAAAGGACCTTACAATGATTTATAATAGACATGAGCTATTTCTCTCATTGTCAATTAGTTTTGAAATGAAACCTCATGAATATTGATATGTTATCATGAGCAACCGGTCCAGTAATGGGATCCGACCAAGATCGATGAGCCCAAAGAGCTACAATTTATAACGCAGTCGCTTACCTCGAAAGGTTATTGTACGGGCTCAACTTTATTGTGTTACAAAGGAATCTCGTAATATTGAACTTTTTTCCATTCAATAGGAAAAATTTTTATATTATGAAAGTCTCGTACTCCCTTCCATTTACTACTTATAATAGAGGTATACTTTTGTTTAGATACGATATTTAGACAACGCGTAATGTTAGTTGTCATTCAATGATACATCACCTTTGCTGAGGTGGATAACTTTATGGTAAATAGTTGTATACGAAGATGCGTGGAAATTGAGTTGGTATACAATTCAAATACAAAATATCTTATTTAATTCAATTTTATTCATTATACTTACCTCTTCAATCCTAGTTTTAAATAAAATTTTATTGAGTAGTCTATTATTTTTCTAAAATACTAAAGGAAATGTTCTTAAAATTCAATACAAATACTATTCTTTAAAAATGTAATTATAAATTTAACATATTATTTTTAAATAATCATTAAATTGTGACTAATAATAGTAATAAGTTTATTATTTATTATTTATTATTTTCTGCAATATCTGATGAATTAAATAATTAATTATTACCGCAAAAACGAACATAATTTAGTGGTAATTGACATATACGGATTCAAACCAATGACATCTATCCTAATTTTGTCTGACTTGAGAATAATCTCTAATCTAAAATCTAGACATTAATAAAATTCGTATATGTATGTATAATTGAAATATTATAAATAATTGAGAGATCTTAAAATTTCATTGAAATAATTAGCAATCAATTTGTAATATTATAATAAAGAAACAATTAGTTTAACTAAATTGAATTAAATTATAAGATTGAATTGGCAATGGAATATTGGAATCTAATCATAAAATAATATTTCGAAAAGTATTATATATAGAAATATATATATAGACTAGCCTTCGTCTATATATATATATATTCCCCTGTTTTTGAACTCTCTCATGCACAGAGCTCACAGCGGTTACAGAGGAAAAACAGAGGCGCCATTTTTCTTCAAAAATGGAACGAAGATTTCTACTCCTCTGCCTTCTCTTCGCCGCTCTTCCGATCTCACTCGCGCAACTCCGGCGAGATTTCTACGCCGATGTCTGCCCTAACGTCGAGAGCATCGTCCGGACCGCCGTGACGAAGAAGTTCCGGCAGACTTTCGTTACGGTTCCGGCCACGCTCCGCCTCTTCTTCCACGACTGTTTTGTTCAGGTAAAATTGAGACTCGATTCGATCGATTGAGGTCGTGGATTGACGGAATTGGAATTTGAAAATTTTGGTTTCGATTTGGCTAAATTAGGGATGCGATGCGTCGGTGATGATTTCTTCGAGTGGAGGCAATACGGCGGAGAAGGATCATCCTGATAATCTGTCGCTGGCCGGAGATGGATTCGATACGGTGATCAAAGCCAAGGCGGCGGTCGACGCCGTGCCGGGATGTAGAAATAAAGTCTCCTGCGCCGATATTCTCGTCATGGCTACTCGAGACGTCATTTCCTTGGTTTGTGCTCTCAAAACTTGTTATTTATTATGCTCTTTTCATATATTCTAAATTTAAAATTCTATTCATTTTTTTATGGGGGAAATTCAAATCAACCACTTAAAATGAAGATTGAATAGAATAACATTTCTAATGCACYATTTTGCTTGTGTCAAGGATCTCGCATTGAAAAGATAAAGAAAATATTTTATAATATAAGTGAGTTACCGTCTCATAATTAATTGATTATGATATAGAACCTCATGAATATTGACATGGTGGTAGAGTCCAAAATGCTCAAATCAGCATTTGATCCAAAAATAGAATCTGGTTAAAATTGATGAACCAAAAGAACTACGATCTTAGTTGAATATCGATAAGTCGATTATTCTTTTTATTCATAACATTCAAAAAGACGTGTTTTAGTCTTTAAACTTAAAATTAAATTTGGTCCCTATATTTATTTTGAATTTAAAAAATTAATAACGTAAATTTGAGTGTATATATATATCAAGCAGAATAAACAAACATCTAGAACAAAATTATTTTATCTCAGAACCATAAAATTGAATACAAATCAAGAAGTTCAAGGATCAAAAGACTTAAATAAAGTTTATAATATTACATATTTGAGGTTGGAATTTTGATTCTATATGATCTTTTCTTTTCTTCCTTTCTTTGAATTCATCAATAATGAGTGTTGAGTGCAACCAGAATTTGAACCTCTAATCAAGATTACTTCTACGTCGTAACTAGTTAAGTTATTTACAAGCATAGCTTACTGAAATGAAGCTCATATATCTCCAACATATTATTGTGCTAAAAAAATAAAGCTCATATATCTCCAACATATTATTGTGCTAAAAAAATAGTTGAGCTATATGCTTAGACCTATGTTTAGACTTTAGCATTACAAATGATATCGTCACATGATTATTAAAGAAACGTAGAGTGATTTGATACCACATGACAAATATCGATGATTGGATAACGAGATAACATAAAATAGCTGGTAGCACATGCAAATATGTATGTTAGGTAGATCGTATCACAGCTCTATTTGATCTATCACGATGTCATGTCAAATAAGTCAACATTTTGGAGACAGCGACGTTGAATTTGAGATGTACATGAATGGAATACAGGCTCGTGGACCTTCATATTCTGTGGAGCTGGGGAGAAAGGATGGGCTTGTTTCGAGAGCTTCTGATGTTAATGGGAAACTGCCTCAGCCAAGTTTCAATCTCAATCAGCTCAACGCCATGTTTGCTGCCAATGGCCTTTCCCAAGCCGACATGATCGCTCTCTCTGGTTAGTATCACCTCAATCTTCTCTTCACATATTATAGTTTCAACTCACCATTTATTCCTTTCAAAACTTTCACTAAATTTTGTCCCATTTCCCGAAGTCTTACTAATTCATTATGCCCTTATCGATAAACTTTTAAAATATCTATTTTAATCTCAAGTTCTATTACTTTAATATCTGCTTACTAAATATCATAATCAATCATTTATACAATTAGTTAATACACATTTGAAATCACGTCATCCAAACGTTATACAATTAGTTAAATAATAATGGGGATGACCAAAATAATTATACTTTTGAATTTCAAACACTAAAATAGATAGTTTGAAAATTCAGTAACCAAAATAGAATAAAATTTAGTGATCTAATTTTCAAAAGCATGAAATCAAAAAGGAAATATAAGAATAGACCAAAGTTAGATTTTAGTGGGAAATTCTCACCATATTGTAAAATGTGTATTACATTGCAGCTGCGCACACCGTTGGATTCTCCCACTGCAGCAAGTTCGCGAACCGAATCTACAATTTCAGCCGTACAAATCCGGTGGATCCAACTCTGGACAAGGCCTACGCAACGAAGCTTCAAGGGATGTGCCCCAAGGACGTGGATCCAAGGATAGCCATAGACATGGATCCAAACACCCCCCAAAGATTCGACAACGTGTACTTCAAGAATCTCCAGCAAGGAATGGGCCTCTTCACTTCGGACCAAGTTCTGTTCACGGACCCAAGGTCCAGGCCCACTGTCAAGGTTTGGGCCCACAGTGGCCAGACCTTCTACAAGGCCTTCATTGACGCCATGACCAAGCTGGGCCGGGTCGGAGTCAAAACCGGATCCGACGGCAATATTCGCACCGACTGCGGTGTATTTAACAGTTGAAAAACTAAGAACGCTTTTGGGGGTATTTTTTTTTACTATTTACTATTTGTTAACATTGGAATAAAGAGGCCATGGTTATTTTTAAAATGCTTCTCACATTTGTTTATTATATGGTTATGAATATGATTATGATTTGATTTTTTTAGTGGACACATGTGCGGTCAGCTGTGTTGGATTTGTGCGCTTTGTAAATGGAATTTGATTTCAGTTTTTACTTTTTGAAATAAATTATTTTTGTTCTATGTGTTATTGGTTTATGAACACGAATGGAAGAATCGAAATATTTAAAGTAGGTGGTCGGCATAGTTTGAACTCAAAAGATCAAAGAAGTTTTTTTTTTTTTTTCATTAGACTTGATGGCAATTATATCGCTCTTGGAAGAACACAATTACGACCTAAAGTGTAAGTTGATGGACTGCTCAATGAGAAGAAGTGTCAAATGACTTTGACAGTTGTCGCGCTGACTGAGCAGAATCCATGATGGTTAATTAATCATTATCATTAATCCAAGATGATTTCACTATAATTTTGGAAGTAATTTTCCCTCTATGGATGAGCAATGTTCACAAGTATAATTATCGACTTGACCATACCTCAAACGATGAGACATCTATACTTTCCTCATCTTTTTATTATAGTATAATCTTATATATATCACATTGCAAATGATACTCCAAGTTATATGTACTCTCCAAATAAGTTAAATGATCTAGATAAACAACTACAATATTACAAATTGCACTGTATCAATAGGGATAAGATCTAGGAATACTAGTAAAAGTCAACCAAACAGTTAATATCTATGGACAAAATTACCCCTACACAACAATCAACCGACAAATAAAAAGAAAAAAAAAAGCCACAGCAAAATTCTCCAATGAGTAATGAAGTGTGGCCTACTCTCTGCAAAAAGTAGCATACATTCTCCCAAAATTACTTGAAGGAATTGAGGGACATGACATGTTTCATTTTGGTCAAAATCAAATAATGTGATTTTGACTAAATTCTAACCAACATCTTTGACCAAACAACAATAGTATGTTCCTCAAAAAAAGAAAGAAAAAAGAACAAGAATGTGTAGTGTATGTACTCTTTGGTCATATCACCCATGGTGAAATTCTTTAAAACTTATTCATAAAGCACAAAAATTAGAATTTATAAGATGCATTATTTGGGTGTACCTTTTCAATTCTTGTACTTATTTGCCATTTTTTTTTGCTGCAAAGTAATGTATATTATAAAGAAAAAATGGATCTTACAGAATGAGATCAATACATAGAAARAACCCAAAAAAAAAATGATGCAGGAACACGGACAAGAAAGACAACAACGTAACTAAATTAAGTAGGCAAATATTCTAAAAATGCATAACATACCCTTTAAGAGTCGAGAAAAAACAACAACCCGATTATTTGCAAAAAGCTGCTTGGAATTTGTTTCTTTAGAAATTTCGTATTAATATTTAGTGATCAAAGAAGAAAAATTGTAAGTATTCAACTAACATTAGGTATGTGGTGTTTGTTAAGTATACTCCGGCAATCAAACCAAGTGAGAATTCGACAAAATTTTACTAAAGAATCTAAAAAACGATATGTAAATTGGTCATGCTTGAAATATTTTAAAGAGATCGATGTTGGTTGAAGATTAGAGAACCTGATAAAGTAAGACGAAAGACCACATGGTAGATCATGACACAAAAAAATATCAAGCTATAATAAACATCATCTTAAAAAAAAAGTCGAGTTGAGGAACTCACGAACAAGGCCAGAGTCATTAAAAAAAAAAGTTGTAAAAGAAAAAGTATCCTTTTTGGGTAATGGGCTAAAAAGAAAAGTGCCTCAATGTCCCCTCAACCATTCTCATACCATTACTCATATTCCTTTTGGTTTCAACTTTTTTACATGTTGCTATTGAAGGACAAAAAATAAAAAATAAAAAATAATCCCTTTTTACTTTTTTTTTTCAATTTATATTTATAGATTAAATTACCAATTTGAACTTAATTTCAATTAGATAGGTTTAACTTTAATTTAGGTTTAGGCTTAAATTATTTTTTTTCCTATTGATTACTCAGCTCAAACTCTAGTGTTGGCCACTAATATAATCAGCCAAATAAAAAATATCAGCATATTGGTTAAGAAATTGACAAAAGAAAAAACAACAAAATAAATATAAAAATTATAATTAATGATTATATATGAATAATAATTCAAAAACAACGATAGAAACAAAAAATATAATAAAGTTTTAATTTTAAAATTAGTATTAGGGACAAAATTGTGTGTGTATATATTATGAAAATCTTAATAATATAACTTTAATATATGAAAAGGTTTTTTGGCTTTGTTTGCCGACGGATTTGTGGGAAGTGGGGACTTACAAAAGGAAGAATAAAATTTTTCCTTTGCAAACAAATAAGAAATAAAAAATATTTAACAAAAATAAAAAGAATAAAAATTCCGTAAGGACAAAAGGAGAAACATTCTGACATCTTCCTTTCCACTGACACCATTGCCAGCCTTGGCCTATTATTTGGACTCTTTTTTCCATTATTCATTTTTTTAACCATAAGAATTAAGAAATAGATAAAATATTAATTTTCTTCCTAAAGTTTTAAAAAATCTAGTTTAATTTCTCAAGTTTTTGTGGTGCTAAATTGAGTTATTCAATTAAAAATTTTGACAAAGAAGTGATCTACTATATGTTTCGAAGCGAATAGATTATGGTAAATATATAGACATATTATACATCGCTCAATAGCAAACGTTGGTGAAACTAAAGCATGTTCAATAGCAAACGCTGGCGAAAGAAAAAATGAAAGAATAAGCTTTTCAAGTTTTTACTAGAAATGTTACATATAAAAAAAATTAATACTCCGATAAAAATTGGAAAATTTTATGCATTCAAAATCATAAATATCGGTAACAAGAAAGCAACATCAAAGATTTAAATTATATATTCCAAAAAATGACAAAAATGTAACTAACTTATATATCAATGATATATTTTATCGCATAAATGGTATATCAATGATAAACTTTATTATAATAAAATCCGCATTACAATAAAAGAAAAGAAAAAAGAATCCAAAGGGAGTAGGGTTAAGAATTGGTTAAAGGTAAGGTTGGAGGGGGATGAATGAGGACACAACATTAGGTCCTATGTGTAAGCATGCTTGAGGAAATTGCATTTTCAAGTACATTTATGAGAATCCTATGTTCAATAATTATTTCATTCATATTCTCTTTTTTCTTTTTTCGGTTGTTTAAATACAATTTTTATCTTTATACATTCGATTTTGGTTCATATACTCTCAAAATGTTTTTCTGTTTATTTTGGTATGTATTCTCGAAACATTCATTTTGGTTTTTGTAATTTTGAAAAGTGACTGTTTTGGTCTTTTCATTTTGATTTTTATCCAATTTCTTTATTTTTTTAGTAGGAGGTGGAAGATTTGAACTCATGACCCCTTGGCCAGACATAGGTGTTAATTGAGCTAAGTTCAGATTGACTTTATTAAACTTTTTTAAGATTACAACTTTAGCATAACACTTTATTCATTAAATTTCTCGAAACGTAGCTAATTTTCCATTGTGTATAGAATTTTGCAAACGGAGACTAAAATTGTCACTTCTTAAAAGTATAGGGGCCAAAAATAGATGTTTTGAAAGTACAAGAAACTAAAATTAGCAAAAGTGGAAAGGACTCCGACTAAAATGAACCTTTTAAAAGTACAGAGATCAAAATAAACAAAAATTGAGAGTACAAACATAAAAATAGTACTCGTTAAAACTAAAAGTATAAAGATCAAAATAGTACTGGTCAGGATCCCTAACATTGAGTCAATGCCTATTTCGATATTGTCTGCATGGTTATTTGAAGGGTTGTTTTCATGTTTTTGCTGGAACCAAATTTGTTGAATTCCATGCCACTCATCATTTAACCATATACTCTCAAAACGTTCATTTTGGTATCTACACTTTTAAGGAATCTGTAAGACACTTTTACTATTCAAGACTCGTTAAATACATGATTGAAAGTTAAGAAACCTATTAGACAAATTTAAAGTTCAAAGGCCGATCGATTAGACGACAGCCCTAAAGTTTTCGGGACTAAATTCCAATTTAAGAAGGAAAAAAAAGAGGGTTAAATTTTGGTCCACCAGGTATGATCCCCAGAAACTGCAAAATCACCCTTTTAAAGAGAAACGACACCCACCACAAAATAGAAATGATAAGACTTCGCAGCATATATTCCATATCAAGAAGACTGAACCAAAAAATTGATATTTATTATTATTGAACATTGAACAAATGCAATAACATATTACCAACAAGTCAAAAAAACATTCTACTTTTTTCTGGAAATGTGTAGGAATCTGATCTAAATAGAGAACTGTGTCCTATCTATAGCCGTGTGTTCTTAAGTGGAATATTATGGGATGGGTGGTTGTGTTTGTTTCAACTTTTTATTCATCTCATTTCATTGAGACGTACCTTTCAAGTGTTGCCATTGCTCCTCCTTCCATCAGATTTGTGTTTTTCTCATCACAAATCCCTGTTTTGAGTAACTGACAAACCTCGCGAGGCTGTCGTTTTCTGGAAAGGAGATTCTTTGCCCACCATTTCTGGTCTGAAAGATGCCTAAGGTCTAAGAAACGAGTGAAATTCCGCCTGTGCGCCATTAACGATGGAGGATGAAGCCAATCTGATGAACTTCCTAAGAGGTTATGTGTTTTGGAAGTTCATGGAGATGAGCTATCCTCATCGGAGCTTTGGTCGTGTCTGATGTTGTACCTGCTCAGGACTGGGAGTGAGGCTGTTGCTGATATCCGAAACGATCTAGCAGCGCCCACCATTACTCCATCCTGCATCCTTCCGACTTCTTTGCATACTTGATCCAGTATGGTTAGGAAATCCCTAACGATCATGAAGATTCGGAAGGGATGAGCTTCCTCCTTGGCAGCATCGCCGTGGAAATACTCTGTGGCTGCTTTCACAAGCGATAAAGCTTTCCTTTCGTCGGCCTTGATCCTAACTATTTCTTCTTCTGCCTCTTTCAAGAATGTTTTCATCGAGTGGAAGAATCTTCCCTGAATTCCTGGCTTTTCGAATTGCAAAACTGACCTTACTTTTTCGAGCCCCATTTCGAGCTTCGTGACATAACTGCTCAAGACGTCTGAGTCCATACCGGCCGCTTTTTTGACATTGCTAAGGTCTCTGCTTAGTCCAGCCACAACCTGCAAGCCCTGCTTTCTAAACTCATCCTCGATTTTGGATTGCGTTCGGTGTTGAAGGTTGTCATTAGTTGTATCAGCACCACCTTCTGATCTGATAATTTCTTGGACAACAAAATGAAGTAATGTTGTTTTCCCATCTGTTCCCTTTATATCTACTAATTTTAAGAGGGTTTCAAGCTTAAAGGCTTTAGCATCACCACGATTCGTACCGACATTCATCCTATTTCCCGTCTTAAGAACTGCTTCAAGTAGTTTAAGAAAAAGTCTACTGTTCTTTAATTCTTCACTTGCACCCTGGAAAATTTTTAGATATTTTGTAAGCATCAGCAATCGATTGGGATTGAAAAAACAAATTACTGGATCTCATATAAGAAATTTAAGACAAACTACCTCAAGGGTTTGGAAAGACTTTCTCAGGTACTTTACTTCTGAATCAAAATTGGCTCTGTACAGCATGGCTTCAACTCTTCTAAAGGCAAATGGGACTTCAAGCACTGCCTTGAGAAATCTTTCTGCAGTCCCTAGTTTTGAAACATCACCACAGTACTCTCTGAGTTTTATTTCTTCCTCTTTGGTTGGAGCCATCTTTACTAGAGTTTCTAAAAGCTCAGTGCCAAAGCCTTCCGGGTTACCTGTTGCCAACAAAGACATGTTTTATATGATGAAAATAAAATTGCAAAGACAATAGACAACCAAATACATTTTCTCTGAAGCATATCAGCTTGTTCTAATCTCTCAGTCCTCAGGAAAGAAGATGAAGTTCCAAACATATAAAAGAAGGTAATGAAAGAGAAATCTAATGAGCAAGTTATCACAAATCAAAACTGCCTTTGAATCTCTTTCTCAATGCAATTCGAAACACCTAATGATCAAGGTTCTTCCCTAGGCCCTCTAGAACTAGGGAAACAGTTATAGTTCATTGGATGAGAAAGAATGGCCGATACTCGACTGTAAGGAACCAATTTTATGAAAATTCAACATCAAGGCACAAAAACAGGGTAGAGATGGAGACTCATTAGTCAGTTAATGTTAAAATGGCAAAAGTGGCAGGCAAGAATATAGCATGATACTAGAGATGCAAAAAAGCAATGGCCAATGAGTGAACTCTGTACGTGATAGAGAAATAAGAAACATGGAGACACAGTATAATGATCCAGACTGTACGATCTTAAATTTAGTGCATAGACGACCTAAGAAAAAGAAAAGAAAATCTTAGATTTATTCAGTTGAGGACCCCTCGAAATCACCCGGTGAATTTTTCAGCTAATGTTATCTTGCCCATGATTGAATGACAAAATTGTAGAGAGAAGAAAGAAATTTGAACTTCTGAACGATTCATAATTATACATATGGTGAGAACAACATTAACTATAATGAAAATGATGCAGAAGGCTGACCAATCTTCTAATGTTGCTGATGATGACCACAGGGTCATTTCTTAAAACGTACTCAAACTGCTTACAATGAAAAACAATCATGCTAGTGATCAAAGCCATGATTCTGAGCTACTTGTTCTTTAAGTTCGATCCCAACGAACTACGGAAATTATTCATAATTTGACAGAAATTTAGAAAGCACTCACCATCTTGAAGAGCTTCGATCACCTCATCACGCGTGACATTAAGTGCTCTTAGGAGTATTGCTATGTTCTGCGACTTTTTCGGATCCAACACCCTATTTTCCTTCTCAACGGGGGGGAGAACAGACTTTCTCGTGACCTCCTTGGGAACAGAATTCGCAGAATTGAAACCGAAAAGTGTCTCCATCATGTCCTCGTTTAATCTGAAAAAATCTCAGTTCAGAACTCTATAAATATTCAAATAAGCTGCAAAAATCGGTAATAAAAGGCCTACTCACTGGAATGAGCTTGATTTAAGTTGATCCCAGACTGTCGCTCGGTCTGAGGTTGCCCGTACTTTGTCCCAGTGCAAGGGCTTCAATCTCGGTTTTGCACCCTCTGTATCCTCTGCTTCAAGCCTCTCCATAGAATTAATCCTCTGGTAGACATCTTCTTGAACAGACTTTGATGTCCCAGAACTCGGAGTGGAAGATGGATTTGATCTCGCTGCCGAGTAGGACTGCGATTTAGATGAGTCCGGCGTAGTCACTGCAGACACTCTCGTTTCTGATAACCCTAGTTTTTGTGGAGTGGAATAAGAAGCCGGACGCACAGGGGGCGGCGGCGGTGGGGGCGGTGGAGGCGGAGGCGGAGGTGGAGGTGGAGGTGCAGCAGGTTTCGGAACTTGAGGAAATGTGGCTGAACTGCTAATTGTTTGAAGAAGTGCCAAATTCGGCGGAGGCGGAGGCTTGGAGAATTTAGGTCTCGTGGACGAAAAAGGCATTGTTTCTTTCGAATTCGGAGTATCACGAAGGTCATCAATCGGATACGGTGGTGGAGGCGGCGGCGGCGGTGGCTGAGATGAAGTGCGCTTCGTCGAAGAAACTGAAAATCTCGATTTAGGAGAAGTTCTTTTAGAATGAGGAATAGGAGGAGGATTAGAATTCGAATTCATATGGACATTCTTAAAGCTTGCCGTCGAACAGCTCTGAACTGAATTACTCCGACGAGAACCCGGTGAGAAATAGCCATCATCGTTACTGACCACCGACGAGCATTGCGGAGTATGGAATGCCGTATCATGGCTTTCCTCATCGGAAGACGACAGAGCAGGAGGCGACATGACAGCCGGCGGCTTCGGTAGAGGCGGCAGCGGCTGCAATTCCGGACTCGGACGGTACCGATCCGACCTCTTGATCGAATTCAGCTTGCGATAAGGCGAACTATTAGCACCATTAGCACCACTCTGCTCAACGAGAGAGCTCTGGCTCGGCTCAACAGTTCCGATGTAGAAGAAACTCGACGGCGGCGCTCTGGAGTCCTCGGCAAATCTCTCCGGATTATTTCCCCCAACAAGCTTCTGCGATTCGCCGGGATGCTTCGCGCGGTGACGATACAGAAAGAACGCCAGAGCAGAGAGCATCCCCAAAGTCACAATCCCAACCGAAATCGCAATCGCGACGGTCTTCGTCGGCTTGGACGGTTGCGTAGCGGCCGGGATTGGCATAGTTCCATTACTCCCGGAAGGAGGCGGTTGACTACTCTGATCTGGACTCGGAGGGGACTCATGGAAAAAAGGCTGGTCGTCCGAGGGAGAGTACGGCGGCGGTGGCGGCGGTGGAAAGTCAGTCACCGGCGGTGGCTCGGAAGGAAAGAACGGCTGATGCAGAATCCTTCTGGAAACAATGGCGGAATCGTGGAGAACCGGCAAGCCGCGGATGGTGAGTGTATCGAACAATGAAAGAAACAAAATGAAGAAGGTGATGAAGCTCAAACGATGAGCTCTCATGGCGAAATTGTGTGAATCTCTTCGTTTTCTTTCACCAAATTCATTGCTCTCGCGCCAATCCAATATCTGAAAATTTTCTAGAGAGAGAAAAGAAGAACTAGAGAGAGAGAGAGTGAGGTGTGAGAAAGGGAAGCTTCTTACAGCTGCAAGATCTGAATACCCCAAGTAGGTGTTAACGTCAACACAACAGAACCTACAATTTTTTTTCTCTTTTTTTTTTGGTTTTATTATTATTATTATAATTAATTAAGTAATTAATTAGTTCATATTCCTTATTTATTATAGAATACAAACTCTGCGTCTGTACAGGGACATTACGCAAGGCAATGTAATCGTGGCCATGACAGAGGACACGTGGCACCTTTAGTTGAAATGGATTTGCTTTATTTTATTTTATTATTATTATTTTTTTCACAGGACGGAAGATAGTCAGAAAAATATTTATATAGTATCATAATCTTGTCTTTACCATCGTTGAATATTTGATTAAAAAAATACAAAAACAAATATATTTTTTTAAAAGATATAAGATCTGGTTTTAAAGGAAATATCATGATTCATGACCACCTAGTAGTATTATTATATTGGAAAAGTTGAAAAAAGCTTACCTCTAATAAGGTATTTTGTGGATTGGAACATAACTTAGTAGCTAAGATTTCGTCTGATAACTATTTTATTTTTAGTTTATTGTTTCTTTTAAATTAAGCCGGTATACTGCAAATATGTTTTTAAGAGATTAAAAACTTGCTAAGGGAATTGTACAAAAACAAATATAGTTTTTAAAAGCGAAAAACTGAAAAACGAAGTGGTTATCAAACGTCAACTTATCGAGGATTTAATTTCTCACCCCTATAATTATTGGACTCAAGAAAAGCAATGATAATTAGGTTGTCGTTATCAATTTAAGTATAGTTCAGCATAATACATTTGTTCATCTCATCCGTATTTGAATTCATACTTTCAAATTGTCGAACTAAAAAAAAAATAATGATTGTTATGTAAGCACAGTGTGCCTACATTTTCGCCAAAGTTGAAGGTTTGTTTCTCACCCTACATTTATTGAACTAAAAAGAAATTATATGATTAGCTACCTTCTTACTCTCAATTTTCAAAATTTATATTTCTAAACTTAAGAAATCACTGCAATTTAATAGTTAAAAGAGCGTACAAACCACCTACGAGTAATTTTTTAGAAGAATTGAAAAAATGAAGTCCAGTAAAACCAAAATAGATCAGTCTCTAATAGCGGTTTTTTTTAGTAACTATTTGTAGAGTTAAAAAAACAAAAAAGACCACGTTGATGTTCTTTTTTTATCAATTTAAAAGAAAAAGAAAAAGAAAAATTTGGGATGCATCTCAATGTTGGGCAAAGCACATATTCCCATAAATTTTTTTGCTTTGCTTTCTTTGGTGCCGTGATATCCTTCGTCAAGGATCATGCTTTAAGTACTTTTCGGTCGACCTCCCCGGCCCCGATCCTCTACGGACGGGACTACGCAACGATCCACTTCTTTCCCACATCATCTCCATCCGACGGCTGTGTACGGTAACCTTATGGATTAATTAATACGGAAATTCGCTTAGGGATTTGGAAGGTTATGCGAGTAATTTCAGTTATTATTATTATTATTTTTTAAGTTTCATTTGGGGTTATTTTATTTTATTAATGTTTTGCCTTACAAATTAACATTGTCTTTGTGCTATGATGTGGATTTATCTGTCCTCTCTCTATTATTTCTCTCCCACAAATCAGCTTTATTTATTTGTTCTTAGGTATAGGTTGGTCCAACCTCCCACTTCCACAAATTTACTTTAGGTTAGTTAATAAAAATGACATTGTCAAAATATAGGTTAAATTATCCATTGGGTCGGTTTGAACTTTGTTTCAATTTTATTCCAAGTGAAATTATATACTAGGTTTACTTGAAGTAAGGTCAAAGAAATGACGTTGGTCGAGCCGACTAGATCGAGCACTTCGACTAGATCAGACTAGACCTTGTTTAGCTGTTCATCCGAACCTACTCTAGGAGCATCTCTCTATAAATAAGAAGAGAGTTTTAAGGCGAGGTATGTTCTATGCAACTTTACTTTTTACTAGAGAACCCTTTGTCTGACTTAGGCATCATAGTGTATTAAACTTAACACCACAATGGTGTGCAGGTCTCTTGTGTATGCAGGTGTTCTTGGAAGCCTGAATCCAAATCGTAAATAAATAAAAAATCTCTATAATTTTAAAAGTTTCAATTTGGTCTAGGTAGTTCCAAATGCTTCGACATAGTTCATATGATTTGACCGAGTTGAGTTTCACAAATTATTCCTAAACTATTGTTAATCATATTGAACTTATACACGAACCTAAGTATTATTTATTGAAAATTTGAAAATAAAGGAGAGAGATATAGAAAGATGAAGTAATCAAAGAGGAAGTCACTGCTAGTAGTGACAATTTACCCCAATGCACATAGTACAGTAGAATGTTTTGGTACGATCATAGGGGAAGTCCCTCCAAAGACGACTCCTATACAATTCTTGTGAGAATTAAAGAAGCGTTTGTGGATAAAGCACGTACGCTCTACCATCCGTTCAAACTTTAGAAACCGAGGTAATAAAATCGAGGAGGGTAAATTTCTTTCAAAGGTTAGAAAAGAGAAAGTCATTTAATTAAATGACTCAACGGCTCAATTGGGCAATATGCTTTGTTTTTATGGTAATGCTTTAGATTTTTGGGGCTTTCTTTTTGGGCCTATGGTTGGACACCACCCAAAACGACCATGTTGCAAAGGAAAAGACAACATTACCCTTTTATACCAATTATATTATTTCCTACTTACTTTTACTTTTTTTGCTTTTCTTTTTAGTATTTTATTATTTTTATGTTTGATTGGATACCGTAGGGATGATGATGATGGTAGTAGTGGAAAATAGGTTATTAAGATAACAATGATGGTTGTCTTCTGCTATTTCCTTCTAATTTTAGTTTACATGATAGTTGGGGAATTTTAGGTCCTTTTTTATTATTTTCGTTTCATTYGGTAATACTTTCKATTTTTCGTTTTTCATTTTTAAGAAACAACAATTTTKAAACGACAAAATCAAATTTCTTGATTCTGGTTCCATTTCTAATTTTTTCTGAAACATAAACAAAARTATTATTTTTATCATTTTTACTCATAAAATGTGTAATAAATATAACAAAAAATAAAAATTTATATTTGATTTTAAAATTAATTTTTAATTTAATATTTTAAAGAATGTGAAACTATAAATGKTAATTGAACACGGTCCGAAGAACAAGAAACAAGAATCAATTACATTTATATTCATTAGAAAAGAAAATAAAAACCAAAAAACAGCTGAAGCAAATATAGCTTAATGGTAATTAGCATAGATGCCACAGTATATGATCATGCAGGAAATTTTAGAGAGTATATCATATTATTATCATAGTTAGATAAAACATAGCATGTATTATATAATTTAATAGTTTAATATAAATATATCAATAAAAAATATATATTATATAACCTTAACGAGTGTAGGTTTATCATACTATTATGTGTAAAATAGAGAATCAAATGATTTTTGTTATAAAGGTAAAGAATTAGAGATTATTATTGACGACAGAAAATTGAGGAATGAATTAGATGGACCCACGAGAGTGAATTTTAAAAAATTTGGAATCGATAAAAGAATTYAAATCTCGAAATCAAGTATGAAAATAATAAAAACAAAGGTCAWTTATGAAATATAGTTTATRTTTTGAACTGYGAAAGACAATTTAAGAAATGTAGTTTATATTTTGACGTACGAAAGAAAATTTTTAAAATCAATATTTGTGTCCTATTGATAATATCTAGAGTTGTGGTAATTGGATGGGATAGAGATAACTATTAGGGGCCGTTTGTTTCGTGAGACAGACATCTGGATTCACACGTTTGTTTTGTGGTAATATAAGATATYCGGGTATCTCGAAATGCTCGGGTATCCTAGGATGTTTATTTGGAAGGCATCGAGTTGATTTGGATGCCCTTTTGAAACATGAGTTTCCATGATTCCTATGTCGAAGACATCCAATGTTGACATTTTTACCCTTCGTTATTTTTTCATATATTTTCTTTTATCAAATTTCTTTGATTTTATTTGTAATTTTATAGTTTAAATAAATTAATATACTAATGGACTAATAAACAATTAAGTATATTCATTTATTATATGTACATATAAAATAAACTTCAATTGAATTATATAATATCTCCATTTAATTTTAACTTTTTTTTAACGATCAGCTTACCGAAGAAAAAATATAATTTGATAATATAATAAATGAATTTTAGCCCATATAATATTAATTATATAATTGTATTTTTTAAAAATATTAAAATTGAAAATAAAATTTATATTCAATATTAATTCTTTAAAAAAAAATCTTATATTAATATGAATTCTACCTAATAACATACAAAAATTAATAAATATACGCAATTAATATAAAAACCTAAAATATTAAATTAATTTTAAGAAAATCTATTATATAAATACAAATTATATTAGATTAATGTATAAATTATATGAATATCCGTAAGGACGTTTTTGGAACATTATATAAGTTTATAACATTCYCATGAATAAATCCTACAAAACAGACGTGGTTATCCAGATATTTCCAGACATCCTTATATATTTTYCGAAATAAAGGTGGCCATCTGAAGATACCGGACATCTAAAATTTTGGACATCTGAAATTCCAGGCATGTGAAGATGTCGGACATCTCTATTCTTAAAAACAAACCACCACTTAATGATTTGTTTGGTTGCTTTCAATTTTACTTTATCAACTATTTCTTATTTTCTCCTTTTAATAAAAAAAAATTGGTAACTATTTCTTGTTTTTTATTTTTTAATGGGATAAAAGAATGTAATTTTAAATTCAAAAAGTACAAATTTTATATAAATTTTACTTTTTAAATTAAATATATGTTTAGTTTATTATTAACTATTAATATTTATCATACATTTTATAAGTAAAAAAATAATGATGAAACAATATTTTTACTTATATMTTGAAAAGAGTTGAAAACAACTAATAATAATAATAATAATAAACAAGAAACTTAACTTTATTCTTTCTAAAATCTTCGTACAATTTTGTGAA